CAACGCGTTGCTCTTCACGAGAGAGCCCGGGTGGGGCGGGTAGGAGGACAAGCCCTGCTCCCCGCCCCCGCACAGCAGCGGGTTGTGTCTGTGGCCACGGGCCGGCACCATGGGGCTGGCCTGCGGCAGGGGCAGCTCCCCCGGGACCATGCTCTCCTTGTGCGCGTAGGAGATGGAGGAGAGCAGGTCCTGCAGCGAGGCGTTCCTGTAGGAGCTGGCGGGCGAGAAGGTGGCCTGCTTGTTCTCCTGGATGGTCTGCATGGGCAGGCGGCGCATGAGGCTCATGGCCGGCTGGCTGTAGATGGTCCCGCAGTAGGTGTTGGAGGCGGCCCCCATGCTGGAGCACTTGGAGTTGAAGGTGAAACTGGAGCTCCGCTGCCGCAGGGCGGCCGGTGGGAGCTGCTGGGAGGGGCTCATGCTGTAGCCGTCCTGCAGGTCCTCCAGCATGCTCTCCCCCAGGCTCTCGTTCAGGCTGATGGTGCCGGTCAGGTCGGTCAGCCGGGGCAGCTCCACGGAGCAGCGGGCGCTGAGGGACGGAGACATGGTGCTGGAGGGGCTGGGGTACATCAGCAGGGACGAGGGGGTACCATCGTCCTCCTCCAGCTCGTCCGGCTCGTGGTTGGCCATGATGGGCGAGAGGCGCCCGCTCAGCGTGCTGGCCGTGGAGTTGGCCCGCGTCCGGAAGTCCGCCCAGGCGTCGTACTCATCGCTGGCGTGGGACGCGGGGCTCTCCGACCACTTGGCTTGCTGGGAGGACGGGCTGTCCTCCCCGCGCTCCTGCGTCACCTGCAGCTGCTTCTTCTTGCTGGCCTTGCCCTTGATGCGCAGGAACTTGCTGTTGTTGTCCATGGACACCGCCCGCCGCCGCGGCGTCTTGCCCGTCTTGCCGCCCTCGGGGTTCAGCATCCACCAGGAGCTCTTCCCGGTGCCCTCGTTCTGCACGCGGATGAAGCGGGTGTGCAGCGACAGGTTGTGCCGGATGGAGTTCTGCGGGGACAGCAAGGACAGGGATGGGGTCAGCAGCGGGGACGGCACCCCCCAAGGAAAGGGAGTCCCACGGGGATGGGGAGCACACCGTGAGACACCTGGGCTCCATCCCCTGGGGTGTCTGAGCCGGAGGGTTTGGGGCTGGGAGAGCTCAGCTGGCAGGTCCCTCCCACGCCCCGTGGGTCACAGCCCTTTGCTGCACCCCCAGCTCTGTCTCTGGCACAATCCCTGTCATGGCAGGGACAGGGAGTCCCCAGGGACCTGCAGCAGCCAGGGCCAGCTCTCAGGGGACATTCCTTCCCTGGTAGGAGGGACAAGGTGAAGAGGCAACAAATGCAGTGACGGAGTCAGGACCACCCAGGCCAAGCCCACCACGTACCCAGCACAACGCACAGGATGCTCGCAGGGCCGTGGAGATCCCAGCTCGCTCTCCACAGCTCCACAGGCAGAGGGAATCCCCTTGGAGTGGACTCCAAGCCCCTTCCCCTGCCTGGCATCATTGGGGATGTGCTCCCCTCCACCCTCAGCAGCGACACACGCCTCATGCAGGGCACATCAGCACCACCACAGCCCAAAACAACCTGTTGGCACCACGCGAGACCTCGTCCCCACACGCCTGTCACCCCCTGTCAGCAGGACTGGGGGCCCACAGGAAAGCAAGTGGCTCCCTGCATGTGTGGCTCTGGTGACAGGGACACACCTGGGAGGCTCAGGTGGGTCTGTAAACCCACTAGAACCCCCTGTGCCCACAGCAGGACTGCCTGGGGGCTGCTTCCACCCTGCACACTCGTGGCTCCCTCATCCACATCCAGCACCTCAGGGTCCTGCTCAGAGCAGCACTCGGAGCCCTGGGCTTGTGCCGGCTCTGAGGAGCTCCCTGGCTGGAGCAGGGGGCACACCCCAACATCCCCAGCTGTCCCTGCCCCACGGGGTGACAGCCTGGGGGGACCCTGGGGTGATGCACCCTCGCAGCTTTGGCCTGGGGAAGAGAGGGGGTGAGGATGTGAGCACAGAGTGGGAGAGGAACCCACCGAGAGCAGCCCTGCAGAGAAGGTTCTGGTGGGCGAGAGGCTGGACAGGAACCAGCCCCTTCCTGGGCTGCAATAAAGAGAAGAGGCCAGCAGGGCAAGGGAGGGGATTCTTCCCCTTGGCTCTTGTGAGACCCCACCTGCGGAGCTGCCCCCAGCACTGCAATCCCCAGCACAGGGACCTGTTAGAGCTGGTCCAGAGGAGCCCCTGGAGCTGCTCCAGGGCTGGAGCCCCTCTGGAGCCAGGCTGGGAGAGCTGGGGGTGCTCAGCTGGAGAGGAGAAGCTCCAGGGAGAGCTGAGAGCCCCCTCCAGGGCCTGCAGGGGCTCCAGGAGAGCTGGAGAGGGACTGGGGACAAGGCCTGCAGGGACAGGACCCAGGGAATGGCTTGAGATTGGAAAAGGGGAGATTGGGGTGGGATCTTGGGCAGGAATTGTT